GCAACAAAGATATCTGGTACTTATAAAACCAACAGTATATTTTCCAGTAATGAGTATTTGATTCAATCTGGTCAAAGATAAGTTCTAAGCAATTACCTTACCTAGGTAATACTTTCTCCTTTTTGCATTTATTGGTATTACTTAAAAACTTACACAAGTGTTCAGACAGTAATACAAGTTGGCTTAAACAGAGGACAACAATTCATTTACCCGATTATACACAAAAGCATACAATGGGAAAAATCTATATTAGACTGACCAGTTGAATGCTGTTCCAAATCACCACACTGGGAAAGCTTTACCTGCTCCTGGAGCAGCAGGTCAGGAAGCAGGAGCATCAGAGAAGTCGTGGGAACCTGGGTCAGGGTAACTCCCCAATGTACACTCACCACAGGGGTCTCTTCTACAGGCAGGGTGGTAGATAGATACACTGCCCACTCCAGAGGCAGGCAGCTAATGAACTCATTAAGGTCCCAAAAAGGGGCAGTATTAGCAGCTGGCTAACAGTTTGCTGGTAGCGAGCAGACCCTGCCACATACAGTCCCACATCCACTTGGAGTTGACCTCCAAGAAGAGCTGGGGGATGGGGGGGCCTCTGGAATCAGAAATTATACAAAACAAATGGGGTGTGCAAGCTGGAAAAAACTCATCTGGACAGGTTGCCCTTCCAATCAAAGGTGTTCATTTGTTTAGCCCTTCTGAAATTTTCACTTAAATCTCTGAGGGCACCTCCACGTCATAACCTTCCTTCAAACATGACAGACCTATCAATGGATTGGCCAAGATTTCAGAGTTGTCATCCCTTTGATGGAGCCAACAACACACACATGCACACACAAAAAACCTTAATTGCCCTGAGGTGGACGATGAGAAGGCCACCTTTAGGGAAAATAACCAGCAGTCTGGTTCCCAACACATGTGGACTCAGGATCCTTAATTGACCCCTAATTGACCCCTACATCAGGGTTGCAAAGCCCATGGCAAAATTCCACTCGCTGTCTGAAAACTGATCCAACTCATGTAAAATTTTATTCATTTTGTCTTTTTCTTCACCCTACCTCTTCCCAACATTTTGTAACAAAGATCTCGCACTTATAAAACAATTAACGTGTGTTTTGGTAACAAGCATGTGATTTAACCAGTCTGAGATTAGTTCTAAACCATTGCTTAATGTGGGCTAGACAAACAGGAGGCTGGAAAAACACAGCAAGCCAGGCAGCATCTGGAGGAAACAAGAAGTCAATGTTTTGGGCATTACCCTTCTTCAGGACTGGCTTAATTGTGGGCAACTGTCTCTTCAATTTACAGCAGCCACTACTGTATCTTCTGTAAAAGATAAGCATTTATACTATCATAGTGTAAGCTTAGCAGTAATGTAGCATTAATTTTCATTTCTACAGCATGAAATGAATCTTGGCCACAACACAACAAATTAATGTATTGTTGATGTACTAAAACAGCACAACAACTTTTTGTTATTACCTGTGATCTAAAGCATGTGCTAAAATAATCATTTCTACGTTTTAACATTTTGCAAATACAGAAAGCCATTATTACCTTCACAGGCAATGTTGCAAAAGTCTTCTTGCAGTTTTGAATAATCTGAGGGCAGATCTGAGCTATCTGAAAAGTGTTTAGTTTCTCCTTGAAATACCTCAGAGAGGTTAGGATTTGATGCATGCAGTCGCATTGGGCTGGTGGAGATAGATGGAACCTAAAGAAAGAAAGAAAAATGTCATTACGTCTTACTGAATATATTTTACCTGAAAAGAATTCTCTTTAAAACAATTTTATATTAATAAACTTATGTAAGTAGTATAGTGCATTAGCAAAGCAGAACCAAAATGTCCAAAAAGCATAACAGCTTTCTAAATTAAGTGTGAATAAACTATGACCACTTGATCTGTAAGGATTATTGAAGTATAAAATCTCTACCCCGAAACTGAATCTCAGCAAATGATGCTACCACTAAGAATAGATTTAATATTGAAATAGACACCTGGAGCACGAGCAATAAATAAGTTCATGCAGCAATGCCAGATCATAATCTTGAAAGTCAATTGCCCATAATTATTCATGATTCCACAGATGTATGTGCACGCATGCATGTTTCTTGTTTTAATATGGGGTTCTCTGTTCTGATAAGCTCAGGCCAGATCACAATGTGCTTCTTCACACAGCATCCAGGATGATCCTGCAGTTGGTTTCTGTCCTAATTTACTCTTGTCCCAAACTTCTAGCAGAGTCCCACATAACTGAGATCACTGTTACATCACAGCATACCTTGGCCTTAATCAACACATTCCTTAAACCGTGTGACAAGGAGCAACGGTAGAAGTGGGGGAAGTGGTGGGGGTGGGGGGAAGAGGAATTAAAAGGTGAACATAATTAACACAACACAGATGCATATAAGCACATTAATTGACAAGCGAACTTGCTTTGACAGTTAATAACTACCAATTTTGTTCCAAGATTGATAACAGCAAGGTTGATGATGACTAGAGCTATTGTTCAAAAAAAAAAAATCACATTATGATATTAGCATTATAAACTAATTCTAAAAGAAACCTTCACTTTAAAGTTGCATTACCTGTAATGTTGATTTAGCATCTTTGCCAAAACTCTTGGTGCGCCATCTTCTCTGAACAGGTTTTTCCTTTTTGGGACTTTCAAAAACATATCCCTTTAAAAAAAGGGAAAGAAAATGAAAATGCTATTTTACCACAAAACAACTCTCATTTGGTTCTGTAATTCACACTTTGAAGCCAAATGCAGTGTTCACTTATTTCTGCATCAGCTTCAGTCAAGGTGATCAAAACTTCCTAATTTACATACCTGAATAGCATTTATAGCTGGTGCGGAGTATGTCCTATGAATAACTTCCATACTTTGTAAAAGCTGTGTTAATTCTGTTAAATTTGAATGGCACTGAGAAAGATCTAGAAGAAAAAAATTCAACAAGTGAACATCAAATAAAAATATATATTCCAGATTCTCGAACTCTCTGTACAAGGGCCTCAACTTTTTATAATTACATCAATGACTTACATGAGGGGAGCAAAGGCATAGTATCCAAAATCACAGACATCACCAAGATAAGTTGGAAAGAGGGTTGTGAAGTTATAAGGAAGCTGCAAACAGATAGATAGGTTGAGAGTGTGGACAAAAGTCTGGCAGATAGAGCGAAATGTCGGAAAATGAGAAACTGTTCACGTTGGCAAGCAGAATGAAAAAACAGAGTATTACTTAATGGAGAACAACTACAGAATTCCAAGGTGCAGAGGGATTTAGGCAGTTTAGTGCATGAGCCACAAAATGTTGGTATGCAGGCACAGCACTTACTCAGGAAAGGTAATGGGATCGTACACATTTTTACAAGAGGAATTAAACATAAAAGCAAAGGGCACTTCAGTTATGCAAGCTATGCTGTGACCACATATTGAATAGTTCTCACACTTTTGATCACCTTATTAAAGGAACGATGTAAATGCATTGGAGGCAGATCAGAGAAGACTTACTAGACTGATACGGAGAAGAAGCAGATTTCCCTGGGAGAGAGGCTGGGCTTGCTCTCACTGGACTTTAGCAGAGTGAGGGTTGACTTGAATCAAGTGTAAAGATTCTCAATGGTCTTAACATGGTCAATACAGAAAGGACATTTCATCTTGTGGGTCAGTCTAAAACTAGGGGGCTGCATTTTAAAATTAGGGGCTGTACTTTGAGGACAGGGATGAGCAGAAATTTTCTCTCCAAGGTTTTGCAAATTAGGAATCACTCCCTTAGAAGGTGGTGCAGGCAGAATCATTGAACATTTCTCAGACAGATGTTGACAGACTCTTGTTACACAAGGGAATCAAGAATTATCCAATCATGTCTTGGTAAATGGCCACAATGCTAAAGCTGCTTGGACACATTTCAATCTGTATTCAAAGTCACCACAGGGTTCCTGAAGTAATAAAGGTTCAGCGGTTCTGAAGAAGAGTCACTGAACCTGAACTGTTAACTTTGCTTTGTCTCCACAGATGCTGCCAGACTTGCTGAGTTTTTCCAGCAATTTCCATATTTGTTTCTGATTTCCAGCATCCACAGTTTTTATAGGTCTTTTTTTAAGAAAAGTTTAGGACACACTCCACTGATACCAGTATAATTTGCATATGTGGCTACTCACATTAATTTTATGAGGGGGGGGAAGGAGTTATGAAGGGGCAGAGGGAGGCAGGAGTGGGTTGTGGTGGGGGTAAGAAATGAAGGGCTGCTGAGGAAAGACAATTCAATTAAAGTCATTAACTAATTCATTCTTCATAGGTTTTTGGTCAGCTATTATATTCCATTGAAATAAAAATGGTTTTACCTTTCGAACATTTATCTATATCTTCAGAACTTTGCAACCACGCTGCCACCTTAGATTGGTTGTTGGGATAAGCAAGGGGAAAATTCGGACTAGTGTGGAATGACATCTGTTTGGTTAGGCTGTCCCTCTGCAACTGGAAAAAATTAAAATTCATTACTGCTTTGAAAATGAAGATAGTGATTTGTTTTGTATTAGTATAGTATAGCAATTGGATTTCAAAAAGATAAGACTTTGCACAAAGTATTTGTCTTCGAGGGTAACTGCATATTATGAAACATTTGCACAAATCTTTTTTGAAAAAGACACAGAAGCACATCAGGTTTCACAGAAGCAAAATGTCAAAGTACTCTGATTAAAGGAGAGATTCAACATTGTCTTTTTTGTAAATGAAAATTAGTTATGGAAACACTGGTATTTGGTGTGCAGTTGTCAGAGGTTACTTTGATTCAACTTGATTTTCAGTATTTCCAACATTTCCTGGACTTGGCCAAAAGCTTAAACAGGAGCTACTATGCATTATTCTCCTTTAACCGCTCATTCTTGGAAAACTACGTACCTTTGCAATGTTTTTTACAGTGAAACTACTGAAATCTGAAGCTCATGCTATGCATAACTACATTAAATATAATTCTTTACATTAGCATGTAGTAATAGCAAGCAATGTGCTACTGCTAATATGTATCTTTTTTTCTACTTTTACCTTTCAGCTTTCTTTCCTATTGTTCCCATATTTTCTTAAAACACTTACAAAATGGTCACTTTTTTGTTTCCAAATTCTAACAAATTAAAAAATTATAGTACTCTTTCTGTTTGGATGGAACAATTCATTGCTGTCTCGAAATATAATGAAACCAAATACATTCAACAGTCTGGGGCCAAAACTCAACCAAATATTACTCAAGTCCAACTACTGTATCACCATCAGGTAGGGTCCTTTGCTACACAATTCCTCTGGCACTTTCTCACCTTCCTCCATCCCTCTCTCCTGTCTACCCAAGTACCATATCAAGTTGTTCATTGACAAACATTCATTGATCCCTCTTTCAAATTTTACTGAAAAATTTCATGTCCTCTGTAATACCAACCTCCACCTCAACTCATCACATTGTCTATCCTGAGAGCTTATCATCTTCTGCATTCCCAGAACCTAACTTCTCAAATAAAGTAATGCCACCCATATTTACAGCCAACCTTCTGACCTTGTTAAATATGTTCATTTTAGATTAGTCATGTCAGTCACAGCAACGGTCATCCCTCATTATTTCCTCAGTGTTAAACTTTGTTTAATAAATCCTATGAAATGCTCGGGGTGTGTGTTCCAACATGAAATACAATGTATAAACACAAGATGTTAGGTGATGGCTGGATACAGGCAAGAATGCATATTTCTTCAAGACATGTGCTGGTGGAACTAAGTACATCAAGGAATGGTGTACTTTCAAGGTATTAGGTTCACGGATTGGCATACATGCAGCAAAGGAGCAAGGTGGGGGCAGAGGTCAGCAATCTTCGAGATAAGAACAAGAGATAACTATGTGAAAACCTGGTGGAGGAAGTGTACAACAGGGGAAAAAAAAAGAGGATTCTGTGTTGCTAATGTCAAGATTTCACATTTCTAAACCTATATATGGCAGCTGAGAGTATTGGTAGAGTCAAGGACAAAATAACAAGTGTTTGCTAGAGCCACAGAGATGGCTGCTCATTACCCACCATTTACTGCATGAAGTTTTGGTTCATTTAACTCAAGTGGCAGATTGGTACTTGCCAAATACAATAACAATTCTGTGGGTCAACTGAGGCAGTGGGGATAGAACATTGCTAGCATAACGGTAAAAGCCAACTTTGTAGTTTAATGGAGAATAAAATTGAATGATGTAGAAAATCACATTCACCCTAATCGCATAGTTCCCAAAAGGATGTGTTAAACTGAAATAATCACTTGCATTTTCCAGGGATGTCAGAGATGGTGCATAAATTAAGGTGAAAAAGTCAACTAAAGAACCTAGGGTAGATTAGAGATAACTATGGAGGCAATAGAAAAGAAATAAATTGTTGCATCCCTAGTAGCTGCTGTATTCTTGATGCAAAAAAAATGCCAAACAGCAGTGAGATGGAACACCGCTTCAACCTGACCACTAAGCCCTGTTGCAGAAGATAACTCATTTCTCCACATAGCATCCCAGCTGGCCACCGAATGAATAGTTAAAGTAGGCATCTCATCATAAACTTTTCTAATCATTATCAAAGTGGTATCAACTCTTAATCCCTTAAAACCAAACAACTAAATTGAAACAGATGGAACCCAATAATTCTTCACTTAAATCATGATAGCTTATTAAATATTTAATAAATTGCAATGTAAATTTCCCTCAGCTTGCAGAAGATAACAACTGATCTTACCCTTGTGTTATGTCGTGCTGAATAAGGAATTCAAATCAATACTTTAATACAGACAGAAAATTATTTGTCTCATTCACTTACTTCTCTGCCACTTCCTTCATCGATCCTTCAATCATATAAATGGACAAACAAGGAGCAATGATAGACTGCTTGGTCCCTCAAGCTGCTTAACAAGATGATGACTGGTCTGACTATAACCTCAAATCTACGTTTCTGCCTACGTCTGATAACCTTTCACCCTACGCTTACCAAGAATCTATCAATTTCTGCCTTAAAAATAATCAAAGACTCTGTTTTCACCACCTTTTCAGGAAGAGTTCCCATAGCTCACAGAGACAATTTTGTCTCATCTGTTTTAAACAGGCAACACTCATTTTTGAAAAGTGCCTTCTGTTTCTAGATTCGCCCAAAACAGGAAACATCCTCTAAGACCTCCACCACCCCTCCTCAGGATATTGTGTTTGAGATATGTCTACTCTTCTCATATAATGAGCCTTAAGCTTTATATATTTTTTAAAGTTGCAAAGTTCTGAACACATCACATCAAATGATTAACAAACAGCGATATTAAAATTTCCAAGCTTTGGTTTATTCTAGGATCAGCTATCAGTGGCAATTTTATGCAGCTGTTCATTACCATAACAACAGATGAATTCCAAAACAAATCAAATGCATAAGATGTTGAGAAAAGGCTCAAGTGATAGTCAAGTAACTCATTTTTCTTTGCCTATTGTCATTTATGGCACTTGTGTAAATGATGGTGAACTACCACTTTAAACCATTGCACACATCCGGTGCAAGTGTGCTAACAGCACTGTTAGAAGAGTGAATTCCAAGCTTCTCATCAAAACAATACAGGAACAACAACATAGCTCCAATCTGGATAGTGTGCAGTTTTAAGGGGTCACATAGTTAGCGGAGTTCTCATATCTGCAAACCTTTATCCTTTCAGGTGATAAAAGATCACAAGCTTAGATGAGGAGAGTGAAGGCATGATAGCTAAATTCAGGGACGACACTCAAATAGTGAGCAAGGCAACAGAAAGTTGCAAACAGATGCAGAAAGATTCAGAGAGTGGGGGAGAAAAAAAAAACAGCAGATCGAGAATGATGTGGAAAAATGTGAAGTTTTCCATTTTGGGAGGAACAATAAAAAGGCAGAATATTACTTAAATCGAGAATAACTACAGAATTCGAAAGTGGAGAAATTCACAGGTACAGCATAGAAGAAAGCTACTTCCTTTATTAGGACAGGAATTGAACATAACAGTGAGAATGTTATGCTTCAGTTGTACAGTGAACTGCAAAGACCACTTCTCAAATACTGTGTGCAGTTTTCATAGGATCATAGGATCCCTACAGTGTGGAAACAGGCCCATTGGCCCAACAAGTCCACAGTGACCCATCCCCACCTAAGCTCCACATCTCTGAACTCTATGGGGAATTCAGCATGGCCAGTCCGCCTAACCTGCACATCTTTGGACTGTGGGAGGACACCACAGCACCCGGAGGAAACCCACACAGACATGGGGAGAATGTGCAAACTCCATTCAGACAGTCACCCGAGGGTGGAATTAAACCCAGGTCCCTGGTGCTGTAAGGCAGCAGTGCTAACCACTGAGCCACCGTGCCACCCCAGTTTCGGTCTCCTTATTCAAGGAAGGGTGTAAAAACACTGGAGGCAGTTCAGATGAGTTTCACTTGATTGATGCCTGGAACGCGCAGTTTGTTAAACTTCAACCTAAAGAAAGATTAAATAGACTGGGCTGGTTTCCATTTAGGTCTAGCAGAGTGATGGGTGACCTGATTCAAGTGTATAAGATCCTGAATGGGTCAGTCCAGAATTATAGGATCACAGTCTAAGGATACAGAGTAGGCCATAAGGATAAGGAACAATTTCCTCATCCAGACAGTGGTGAGCCTGTGGAATTTTCGGCCAGAGAAAGCAGTTGAGGCCAAAACGTGCAATGTTTTCAAGAAGGAATTGGATATAGTACTTAGAGCTAAAGGGATCAAAGTGGACAGGGAGAAAGCAGAAACAGGATACCGAGTTGAATGATCAGCCAAGATCAAACTAATTGATCAATGGGCTCAAAGGGCCCATTCCTGCTATATTTTCAATTTTCTGTTTTAAAATTAAGCGCTGCACTTTTTGAACAGAGAGGAGAATATATTTTAGTGGTGAGAGATTTTGGAACTCTGCCTCAGAAGGTGGAGGAGGTGGGTCATTGAATATTGTTAGGCAGAGGAATCAACATATTTCAAGGGTAAATGAAGATATGGAATTTGAAATACAAACAAATCAGTTTTGATCTTACAGAATTATGGAGAAGGCTCAAGGGGCCAAATAGTCTATAAGAACATAAGAACTAGGAGCAGGAGTAGGCCATCTGGCCCCTCGAGCCTGCCCCAGCATTTAATAAGATCATGGCTGATCTTTGAGACTCAGCTCCACTTACCCGCCCACTCACCATAACCCTTAATTCCTTTACTGTTCAAAAATTTATCTAGCCTTGCCTTAAAAACATTCAGTGAAGTAGCTTCAACCACTTCACTGGGCACTTCTCCTCCTGTTTCTGTGCATATGTTTGAAAGGTACTTCTGAAAGTAGACATGGTGCACAATGCAATGGCGAAGTATTGAACACGGTATATGGGCCCAGTCAAGCATACTACTGTGTTTTAGATGATGTCAAGCTTCTCAAGTATTGCTGAAGCTGCACTCATTCAGGAAG